CAAAAATTAAGAAGTTGCTCAGTAGATACGCAGGCGCTATAGTATCAATAATAAAATATCACACGCGTCTCAAAATTGCACGTCCACACACTCCCTATTCTTTTCAACAGAGTACACAGTTAGTCAAAAACAAAAAAAATTGGCTGCATCTCGTGTGACGCACCCAACTTTCGCTCCCAATCTTCGAAGCAAAACTTTTTTTCTATCACTTGCAAAAAACAGGGCGGATACCCTTGTAACGGAATTCGCACGGACAGCGCGCACCATGAACTCTTGACTGATGTAATTGCGAGTCGCTCCATAATCCATCAAGGCTTTGCAGTTTACCTTCCCGATTTCAATGCGGATGTGAGGGAGGGTCGATGTCGTCTTACTGTTACATGACATACTCCCTGTCAATCTTTACAAGGTACTCACAAATGTCAATAACAACTACTCTGTCATCCAGCAACAGAGTTGGTACTGCAGCGTTGAAATACTTGCTTAGATCAACCATTAACGCATTGCAATGCGGTTTCGGTAAGGAAGCAAACAGGGGAAGAGGCAACCATTGGAAGTCTTCTGTAGTCAACGAGTCGAGGTCCTCAAGTCTCGACCAAACCGACGAATCCCCGGATGATAGTACAGTTGAAGAAGTCGGGTCGCTTGCCGACAATTATAAAACCGCATATATGGATGAGGCTTGCACGTGGAGGGGTAGGTCCAACGGAGGGACCAGTTGGACAACATAGTCGTCGTACGTAGTGCGCGAACTTGCGACATCCGCACGCTCCCAAGACGTGAACGAGGCTGCTAGCAAGGCAACCGTTGCCGGGCAAGAGGGTTGTGTTCCCGATACTGTTGATCGCGCCCGATAGGTCGAGGTTGTTTCCTATGCTGGCCAGCGGCTATGCCGAGGTACCCCTTTTCGGGTTAGTGACTTTGTCCCTTTCCAACCACCTACGCCCGCGGCTCAAGAGCACCTGTGGCGACGGCCAGGAGAGTGAAGAGCGCTGCCGCCGGGTTGGGCTGCGAACTTGGCGCTAACGCTCGACTCAGTAGGGCATAGTGAGAGTACTCGTCTACAGCTACCTCGGGACCTGCAGTACTTAGAGTGGCATTAACCTTAATGCAACCTGAGCGCGCCCTGGTGCGAAGACCAGACGCAAGCCTAAAGAGAGTGAGACTTTTGTTTCCGATAGCGCACGTACAGTGTGGAGGTTCAAGACTTCAAACTCAATCATGCGCGGAGGGCCGGTGTGAGGAAACCCGGGGAGTAGTCGCCTAGCGCCTGTTGAAGCCAAGGGCAACAGCGCCTGTCACTCGCTGAGCCCGCTTCAGAGGTCCTCAACCGTCGGCTGCGGGATTGTCTGGACAGAGGGGTCACTACAGCGAGTTGTCCCCGCCTGCAGCGGTTCTCCCGAGCCCGTCCTCTTGGGTGTGTTTCCGCAAGACCGTAAATAGGGACAGCGGGAATCCCGTTAATCCAATCATCCGCGTCACTAATTAGATGAC